TCAGGTGGAGACTGCCTTTCCCCTATAACAGTAATTTTTATTTATTTATTATTAATTTTTGTTTATTTAATTATTTAATGACCACATGATTAGAAGAAGCATTTCATTACAGCTTTAACATATTCAGTAACAATTTCCAGAGCAAAGATACATCTCTTTCAACAGTGGCTATAAATTTTTAGGTTCACAGTTGAATTTATAGTTATACAATATTGAACTCACTGTAAAACCTGTAAGACATAAAATTGAATGAGATTTTAACCTTTAAAATAGATCTCCATTTCATTTTAAAATATATTGTTTCCTACATTTTTAATGCTTCTATCACTTAGATGTTTGCACATGCATCTCTAATCTCTATGTATCTAATTATTAATAATGTAATTTTAAAGAGTTTGAATTTGGTCATGTTGGGGTGGTACACCTCTCAAGCCTCTTCCACTCTTAGAACATCAGTGGTGAAATGTTAGCAGCCCTCAATACTGTGGCATCTCCATGAATTTTCTGGATTTCATTGCCCTGCCTGGTTATGAGATGCTAATGTGTGGCGGATTGACAAAGGATATATGAGATAGTCCTGCTATTTTTGCTACTTTGTAGTAATGTAAACATTTCAAAATAGAATACAGCCCTTCCATTTAGGCTACTTTCATCAGATTTCTGTTCCACCAAACTGAATCTCCATCTGACAGTCACCTGTAAGTCACCTGTAACATCAAATGCCAAGTCACACCCACCTATTTGGGCAGCAACGTGCTCTTGCCAATACCACAGTGGTCACACACACTAAGAAACATTTCCAAGAGACTCCAAATGGACTATAAGACCCTTCTGAGGCCTGATTTGCAGAACTGCTTCATGATGACCCCTGGGTCACATGTAGAGCCATGTGTCAAGGGACAGGAACCGAGAATTGGAAGAGTGCACTTTCACTTTTCTCTGTGCTTGAAATATTCCTTAATAAAAAGGAGAAGAGAAAAAAAATTGTCTCTATGCGACAACCTTCCAGCCAACAGGGTGGCTTTCTACTTACTAACCGTTGAATGCAATATCTGTCCTTCTTCTCTGCCCCCTTCTCCTGCCATGCACACAGAATAGGCAGCATAGTCAAGGTGGTGCTCTGTTCTTGTCATAGTTTTTCGAAGTGAAGATTACTTTTCATTAACCCTGAATTCTGGTAGATTTAAACCAATGTTTAGATTCAATTGAAGATAGCACAGGGCAGTGGAAAGTCTCACAGTGAGCAGAAATGAGTAAGGCTAAGAATCTTCTTATGGAACTTCCTCTTCACTATGTGTATGTCTACAAGCTTCTGCTGGTTAATGTAGTTTTTGCTATTGTCACCAACAAAATATCAGAGAACAAACAGAAAAGCTATTGTGATGACTTGTGCCATAATCCCACCACTGGGGAGGTTGGGGCAGGAGGAATCAAGTCCAGCTTGGACTATCTAGTAAGACCCTGTCACAAACAAAACAAAAAGGGGAAAGCTTTATTATGGTATATGAAGTTATTATAATTAAAATCCTACCTACATTTATACATGTTAAAATACAATTCAAGCTGAACCATTTGTTTTATTATTTAAACAATAATGAAATAGGTAAAACTAAGTCCAGTAACTTGAATTATCTTGATGGCAAAAATCAATTTTCTTCTTTATGTGTTCCCCAAAACAAGTTTAGACTTTTATTTCAAAGAAAATTACAGCTTCCTATGAATAAAAGTAATCAAAACAATTGCTTTACTTTCTTGTCCTGTGGCTTTGGTACAATACTCTGGTAAAAACCACTTTCCTCTAATATTTAGTGCAGGACCCCGACCCAGGACATGGTGCCTATGTCTTCCCACTTTGATTAAGATAATCCCTCACAGTCATAGGCAAACCTTGTCACACAGGTGATTCAGGGTTCTGTCAAACTGAAAATTGTAAAATTGTAAAAATTGTAAAATCCTGGATGATACAATATTAATCTTTATGGTTTATGGAAATAAAAACTAGTCCTTAACCAAAATACAATATGATGCAGTTTAAAAAAAAATCCCTGGGTGGGGGGATTGCCACTGATGAGATTAGTTATATAAAATGAATTTAACAGAACTGTTCAAAGTTTTTCCATTAAATAATTGTTTGATAGTTTAGAAAGTCTAGCATGACACTAACAAATGCAATTTAATTTACAGAACTTGGTATTAAGTGGAAAAATGTTACTTTTAAAAATTATGTTACTGCCGGGAGTGGTGGCACACACCCTTAATCCCAGCACTCAGGAGGCAGAGGCAGGCAGATTTTTGTGAGTTCAAGGCCGGCCTGGTCTACATAGTGAGTTCCAGGACAGCTGGGGCTACAGGGAGACCCCGTTTCAAAAGAGACAAAAGAAAATTATGTTACTAAATATGATATTATTGAAAAATGATTTAGACTAGTAAACATTATTGAATAAGTAAAGTAACGTTGGTAATTATGTATTCAAGTACTTGTTTTCTTATTATTTAGCTACAGTAGAAATTATGGAGAACTGATATAATCATCTTAATATAGGGCTCACAATAGGTGACTGTAAAGGTATATTCCAAAAAGTTTAATATTCTACATCAAAAGATTTGAAGAAGAATGTAATGTAGTTCCCGCTGCCCCCTGTGCCTTATGATCTCTATTCCTTTTCCTTCTGGCTGTGGTACATATTCAGATATTGTTCGGTGTCTCTAACATGCAGACTGGACACTGGTCTCTTTTATAAAATGATTAAATATCACACTAAAAATATTTTATGAACTTTAGTGATTCAACAAAATTTTCTAGCTATTCTAGTAAATTAACCTGCCTTTGACTCAAATCTGGCTATACTATTCTGCTAACATTTTTGGTAATTGTATGTTTGAGTCAGAAATCTTTCTTTCTATGAAAGGCATCCAATTGCTATGAAATTAATAGCATCAGGATTGCTATTGAAAATATTTTATCTAATTTAGTTTTTGTAATGCTAGGTCACAATAAGTATTGGGTATTTTCCTTTCATTTTTAATAGACTTCTAAGCACTAATTTCAGAATAATTTTGTAAAATATCCAGTTTTTTTCCAATTCTTTTCTCTCTCTCTCTCTCTCTCTCTCTCTCTCTCTCTCTCTCTGTGTGTGTGTGTGTGTGTGTGTGTGTGTTATGAGTGTGTGTGTGTGCAGAGGCGAGAGGGGGGACATCAGCCATCTTGTTCAATCATTTCCCTCCCTATTCCTCCATGACAGGGTCTCTCTTTGAACCTAGAGCTAGCCCAACAGCAAGCCTCAGTGATCCTCTGTTTCAGTGACCTCCCCTGTCACACAGCATTGTAATTACTGGGGCTCATGATTGTGCCCAGTGTTTTACATAGGTTTTTTTATATTTGGGCTCAGGACCTCATATTTGCACAGCAAGCACTCTAACCCACTGATCCATCTCCCTATTTCCTCTTTCCTCCGTTCTTATTCCAGTCTCTTTCTAGTAGAGAAGTGATGGGTGAAGAAAGTGGAGGATTTGATGATATGCATTTCAACACTATAGCTTCACTGAATACTTTGATGTTTATGATAAAATAAGATATATTGGGTCAGGGGGTTGGAGAGATGGCTCAGCAGTTAAAGCACTGACTGCTCTTGCAGAGGACCCGGGTTTGATTCCCAGCACTCACATGGCTGCTACAAACCGTCCTTAATTCCAGTTCCAGGGGAATCCAATGGCCTCTTCTGACCTCCTCAGCATTGCACAGCACAGGTGCACTCTACTCACATACATGCAGGCAATATACTCATATGCATCAAAAATAAAAATGCTAAATAAAATATATTTAAAAGGGTATATTCGGTCATATTGTAGTCAGTGTGTTCAGTGCTATTATTGACAGTAAGATAATTTCAGAAATGCTTCCTTATTAACATTTTTTCCTCAAAACAGATGTATATGACTTGTGTAGTCATTTCTGAGCAAAAATAGCTCACTGGCTTATTATTACTTAGATTTTATTTTGCACAAAATTTTGTTTGAGGAGAAATGCAGTCTGTCTAGTTTGTATAGACAGATTCTTGAATCTCTTTTTAATTTGATTTTTTAAGAGGCATTTTAGCCTGATGATGATACAAAGTTGTAGACAACATAGACAGAATTTTATGTTGTCTTCTGTGTGATTTTTGATGAGAATTTAGTAGGACAGGAATTAATGTCCTGCCTAGTTGCTAACTTTAAATATTTTATTTACTTTAGCATGCCACAATTTTTACAATATTAAAAGACAAGCCAAGACAATGTCTCAACTTTTTTCATTCTTCCAAAATTCTTAGCTGTACAATTCCATGACCAACATTGAAAGCAATGTCTTGCCTGACATATGTCAGTCTTTTCTCCTCTCTCCCTAAACGGTTAGAAACTGATTGTCACACTGAAACAGCTACTTAAATCAACTACTTCAAAACCATGCATATTGCCCTTTTAAAACAGGAAAGACAGTGTCTTTAATTAATCATAGGGTTACTCAATTGTAGAAATACAAATTCTAAAATAAAGATTTTCTGTGGTTTAGAGTAAAATTATCCTTCATTCTTTCCATGTAACAATATTACATCTTATCTAGCTTCTGGAAACTTAAGAAATATTACTGTCTGAATTTCAATTACCCACATCCTAATATTCTAAATTCTTATGATGCGACAAACTAATTTCATATGGATGTTTTCATTCAGACTTATTTGTAAAGCTCAGATCGAGTTATGTTAAGTTTGTGGGTTGCCACAACGCAAAAATGCCATTCTTGATCATGCTTTTATCAGTTGTTTGTAAGTACCCATGGGGACAATGGAAGCTTTATAGTCATTCTTTAATCAACCAAGATAATTCTAGTAAAGCTCTGGTAAAGATTCTAGAAGGAAATGAATGTAACGCATTCATCTTTTTCTTTCTCGCTTCATTCTCGCTCACATCTTTATTGAACAGTAACCATCTGAATTGCTTTTTCACTGCTTTTCATGTTGCAGATTGAAAATGTTGATGTCTGCCTTAGTTTTCTAGCAGCCAGAGGAGTAAATGTTCAAGGTCTATCTGCTGAAGGTAAGAAAAAGTACAGTTTTCACTAATGGCATCAAAGATTCTAAGAGAGTTTTCATAATGTTAGAAATGCAGTATTGGAATGCAGAGTTCCTTAATGTAATAATAGGAAGTTGTAATGTTCTAAAAAATGATATCCATTTAACTATTTAAATATAATTCAAATTTTCCTAGAATTGCTTTTTATTTAAGTATATATGATGGAGATGCATAAACATAGAGCACTTACATGTAATTACTAATATAGTGTATGTTTAGTTTCTTAAGTACATGGATATATTATTAGGTCAATGCTGGACAATCAGACAAAATAGTAAAATTTGTGTCAAAAAGGTTGTCAATAACATTTCTATATTATGATCTTGTTAGTAATTATAGTCAGAATATTTGCAAGTTTAAGTAAGCATTAGCTCTTAAATAGACTAGCATTAGTAATAATTCCTATTTATAAATATTTTTACATCATTGCAAGTCTGAATGAATGAACTTTGTTTTTAGTGAAAATTCATTTTCACTAAATTGAAATATATCAACATGAAAAAAGATTGAACAACATTCATCGTTCATTTATATTTTCAGTCTTTTTCCATATGTGAAGATGACAACATTCTTCAAAAATCTACCATGCAGAACACAACCTTTGCTATAGTTAAAACTAAATGGCGTTTTTCTTTCTGTGTCAGTCCCACTGTCATCCATCATTCTGTTCATTTCTGTCTTCCACCCATCTCTTCATTTATTAGTTTTAATCGTACGTATCAGACATACTAACACATGATGCGGAACCCTTTCTCCTATTGTGGATTATTAATTGTAGGACTGGTGCTAAATAAAAAAGAAACATGAAATTTTCTAATACAGTTCAACTGCAAGATTATGAAATATCCTTTGAAACATGCAGTAGTAACAATAATTAAAAAGTTAATGATATCTTTACATTTCTGATAGATATAAAATATTTCACCAGTTTAGCTTTTTACTTTTAAATTTAGTCTTTTTCAGACAGGGTCTCTCTAGCCCCAGCTGACCTGGAACTAGCTATGTAGACCAGGCTGGCCTCCATCTCACAGAGATCTGCCTGCCTCTACCTCCCAAGTCTTGGGATTAAAAGTGAGTGCCACCACACTCAGCTTCAATTTAGCTCTTATTACAACTAATTTTCTTTGGAAACCTCTTCTGCCACCAAAATTACAAATATTGAGCAAGTCTTAGGTTTTAATGGAATGAAAAATTGTGAGATTCTGAAATATAATAAACTTTTAGTAGGATTCTTTTATTTTACTTTTCTCAATTTTCTTGCATATTTTAATTATCCATTACTTTTTATATTTACATACAACTTATTCTAAGATATATAATTAAATTATACATTTAGTTGCTAAAAGGCTAAAATTGATATCTACCTGCTGATTCTCTTAGAATAAACTGAGTAAAACTGCCCCCCATATAAGATTTTGCTGCATAAGTGGTCAAGAGCAAGCTAGAGATGTTTCTGTTGTTCATTTTATCTCTCTCGCTTTTCATGTAATAATTTTAATAATATGCACCTATTTATTTTAGTTTATCTTTTAAAAAATATAGCTTCTCAAAAATGGTGTTCCAAATTAAGCAGACATATTATAAGACAAGAAAGTAAAAAAATTTGAACTAGATCACTTTGGCTTATAGGGAAAAAAAATCACTACTTTCCCACTGTAGCTTCATTGTTCAAAACTATCCTTCTACATTATGGAAGCTATAAAGAATGTCCGGGGGGGGGAAACAAGACCCCTCCAAGGTTCATGCTCTAGGCCTCAATTGTACTGCATAGTCAGGGTGAACTAATCAACCATAAGAGAGGAAAACCAGCATAACTTGTTGGCACCTACATTCTAGAAGGGGACATGACAACTCAAAGAATACATTTAGTCACCAAGAGTGATTTTTATTTAGAATGTGACTACGGATTTTGAAGCCTCACTTCAGGTTTTACTTATATCTCTTTTCTTGGTTTTATATTTATAGCTGCAGAAAGAAAAGAGAGTGGGGGTATGCTGGGTTGAGTTGGAGGGGAAAGTGGAGAGTACAGATGATTAAAGTATATTGTGTACTTGTATGAAAAATATTTTTTTGGTCTTTTTGAGACAAGGTGTCTCTGTAGCCCCAGCTGACCTGGAACTCACTATGTAAACCATACATAAAACAGCCTGGTCTTATCACAGAGATCTCCCTGCCTCTGCCTCCTGATTTCTGGGACTAAAAGTGTACACCACTATGCCCAGCTTTGTATGAAAAATTTAAAGAATAAATAAGAAATATATATATATATATATATATATATATTTAATGTAGCCTCATGTTGTAGCTGAGTTTGACTATTTGATTTTACTAC